TGAATTTTGAGGCACCCTTAAGCTCCATGATTGTGCCCTTTCTTCATAGACATGGGCAGGTAAGTTGCATAAAGCAGTAAAGCTAGCTAAAGTAAACAATCTGCTTTCTTTCTAGTCCTTGCCATGCCAGCTGATTACTTTAACTACATACAGGTGCATACTGACTTTCTATTTTGAAATCTCTATTTAGAACCACTAGACATATCACTGCTCTCAGGATTAGACAAGCCTTTGAGAACCCCTGCTTTAGATGGGATCAGACTATTCAGTTGAATCAACTATTTGGCTTCTATTCTTCTAGTGTTTCCTGTTTTGAAATTTTTATTACCAGGTTGGGAATGGGGTGTTTATTCTGATGGAATATTTTGACATTGCTTAGGATTAGGAATCAGGACATCTGATTCTGCAACTTAACTGTTTGCCTCTATTGAATTTGAGAAGTTACTTCACTGAGTCCAAGGTACCTCATCTCTACAATGGGGATGAAAAGATATTCCTGCTTTTATATATTCGCCAGTCGAACAAGCATCATGAGATCCCTATGTACCAGTCCTTTGTAAACCAGAGTACTTTTCAAATGTTAGTTGTCTTCCTAGGACATTTATTTTATGAAGTGAGGTACTGAGGTGTTGAAGCTGGGGTGTCATGAGAGAGGAGTCTGTGTGGTGCAGCATGGGCAGGAGATGGCTAAGAGCAGAATTTGGAAGGCTTTTCTGCTCAAAAATCTATCCTCCATTGAAAATTTCATTAACTCAAAGTGGGGAGGGAGATTTTGGAGTAGAGTGTAGGTCACTGAGAGGAGAGTTGTAAACTCGAGACTTAAAGGCCAGGAGATGGGAGGAAGGTGGATGGGAAAGGGATACCAATCTCTGGGATAAAGACAAAGTTTGTAATTTTCTGTGTGATTGTTTTATCTTTGTTTTCAAAGTCCCCTGAAAAAATATGAACTATGCTTACTGTTGGGGCTGTTAAAATGTGAAAGTGGTTGTCTAGAGAATGTAGAAGATTCTACCTGAGGTCTCAGACATTTGGCTGTACACCCATCTTTATTTTTTGAATTATTTATAGGATCACATGAAATTTCAAATATTGAACAGAGAGGTGCTGTGTAGTCTTATCTAGCTTCGCCCAGTGGTTATATTTTATGTAACAGTAGTTAAATGTCAGAGCCACCTAGTTCACAATGGTACAATGTGTATATATTTCTTTTTCTTTTTATCACAAATGTACATTTCTGTAATGATGACCAAAATCAATATATAGAACTATCACATTAATACAAATATCTGCCTCATGCAACCCTTTTACAGTCACCTGCTCCCTTACTATCCCTAACCTGGCAAGCACCATTTATTCTCCATATCAATACTTTGGTCATTTCATAAATCTATACAAACTAGAGGCCATTGCAGGAAGAGTCCTGCAAGAATAGTGCTTCCTGCAGCCAGAGCAAAGCAGAGAAGGGAGCGAATCCCGTCGAGGAGGGCTTCGCTCCTGCCTCCGCAGCCCCAGTTGCTTCTCCACAGCTTCGCTATCTTCTACAGCACTTGGCTTCCTTCTACGTTATCTTCAATCTTTCCTCCACACCTGCATATGCAAATTAATCGCCTTCTTTATTGGGTTAATTTGCATACTCATCTGATTGTCTGGTGAACATAGTGGAGTAACACCAATTTGCATGCTTCTCTTTTATTAGTGTAGATATAAAAGCCCAGCGACCAGACTGGTGGAACTACCAGAATTATCAGAATGACTGGTGCCTACGACATGCCCTGGGAGGCCAGCTAACCCAATCTGGGCCCCAATCAGCCCTCCTCCCCTCCTCCCCCAGCTGGCCCAGCCCCAATCATCCCCAACATCTTGATAAGGGGACTGGGTTTCCTGCCAATCGCCTGTGGCCCCACCTCCCACTGGCCCTGTCCTATTGGCCTCCATCAAGGAGGGCCTGCTGGACCCCACCCTGCATGAATTTGTGCACTGGGCCTCTAGTGTTATATAAAAGAATGTAACATTTTGAGACTGGCTTTTTTTTTTTTTAATTAAGCACAATGCCCTTGAGATCTATTCATGAAATAGCATCATTTAGCAATACACCACCACCCCTCCCCGCTCAGTAATATTCCATGCTATGGGTATATCACACCTTATTGAACCATGTACCTACTATAGCACATCTTGGATGTTTTCAGTTGCTTTGGGCTATTTCTCATGACATTTCTATGAACCATCATGTACAGGCTTTTATGTGGACATAGTCTCCATTTCTCTGGATAAATGCATAGAAATACAACTACTGGTCATATGTAAGTATATGGTTAGTTTTTGAAGAAACTGCCAAACTGTATTCCAGAGTGGTTGTCCCATTGTTCATTCCCATCATATGAGTTATCTAGTTCCCCCATATCCTTGTCAGCATTTGGTGTTGTCATAGTTTTGCACCATTTTTTTTAAGGGAAAAGAAAGAATCTCCTCTGCCCAAAACAGTTAATTGAAGGAGGTTCTTGCAAAGTTATTTTTATGAATTTACTCATCATGTGAATCCTAGGGATTTAGGCAGTGGAATGCATTTTTACTATGTTGTGCTTTATTTTGCAAATATAGATATAAATGAAAACTAGAAATTGCTTAATAGAGAATTCTACCTAGTGGAATGTGGATTAATGGTGGCCAATATTTGTCCCTTTTGGGGGAGCACAAGGACTAATTATGTGAAAATATTCTCATTGAGATATAGTTTTATATCACCCTGGTACCTGTGTAGTCTATAGTACAATGGAAGAAGCATAGAACTTAAATTTAGAAAGCTTTTTTTCTGTACTTCAACATTTTTTAATTTAAGAAAACTTAGGTAAGAACCTTTCTGGCCCTTAGTTTTTATCTGTAAAATGAGGATACTATCTTCATCACAAGATTGTTTGAGATGTAAATATGTTTATCTCTCTCTTACTTTAAAATGATTTATTGAGTGCTTACTATGTGACAGGCATTGTACTAGACCAGTGGTTCTCAACCTTCCTAATGCTGCGGCCCTTTAATATAGTTCCTTAAGTTGTGGTGACCCCCAACCATAAAATTATTTTCATTGTTACTTCATAACTGTGATTTTGCTACTGTTATCAATCATAATGTAAATATCTGATATGAGGATGTATTTTCATTGTTACAAATTGAACATAATTAAAGCATAGTGATTAATCACAACAATATGTAATTATATATGTGGTTTCTGATGGTATTAGGCGACACCTGTGAAAGGGTCGTTCGGCCCCCAAAGGGGGCTCAACCCACAGGTTGGCGACCCACAGGTTGAGAACTGCTGTACTAGTCCTTTTGGATTTAATGATGATTAAGACAGGATCCCTGATTTCAATAAAGTGATAAAAGTAAAAATAAGAAGAGTAAAATTACAGGACATTTATTTGAGCACATGCCAGATATTTTATATTAGGTTCCATGACCCCAGGAACTCTGGAAGATTGATATAGGTCTTACCATTCAACAGCAGGGAGATTTCTGGTACTTGTTCAAAATCAGAGACATAACTAGAATATTAACCTAGATCTGTCTTCAAAACCCAGTATTGCTTTTTATCCTATGATGGATAGTTTCTGTTAAAACACCGTGTACACAATCAAATACTAAATGTAAATAATAATTATAAAATCTGTCATTAATGTCTATATTTGTATTATCAGTAATACAATAACTTGGAAGCTTAAGATTTTGCATTTTTCCAAGTAAACTACTATTGTTTATGTTTA